CAAACTAGGTTGGGATCAACTTTAAGTCTACTACGATACGGCTGAATTTAGATTTTTTACGCGGAGCGACTTCTCTTCTTCGTGCTCTCGAGGCACGAAGGGCCTCAATGTGGTCTCAAATGGACACCCATCCAAAGACTGACCTGGATATGGTCGCTTAACTTTGCAATGTGTTAACCTACTCGGTTACTACTTAGCCAAGAGCCCCTCCAGCTGATGGTGATGATAACATACTTATATATTTTTAAATACATACATATTACAGATAAAGTACACCCAGACACGGAACACGTGATCTGGCTCATCAGACAATTAATTGTCCTGGGTGGGAATCGAAGTCGATACTTCCAGCTTAGCAGTCAGGGTCACTAACCACTCAACCAACAGACCCGTCGCTAACTAAATATTACATGTATATTCATCTAACCAAAATGAAATGTATACCCTTTAAAGTACATATATATGTATATTATACTTTAACTGCCTCGGTGTTGCAGTGGCAGCGTTTGCGACTGATGACGACAAATGTTTGTATGATCTGCAAATATTTGTTTCGGAGTTTGAATGTTTTGTATGTATAATATGTGTGTATTTATATAGAAAAGTATGTAAGTATTCTATCAGTCAATCTAGCTTTCATAGTACAAGCCCTGCTTAGTTTGGAACTAAATGGCGTTACTTGTCTAATCTCCGAAATTATTATTATTATTATTTTCTGGCCCTCACCTCTAACTTATTCAATTCTAATGCTAACCAGAACTTGATCATTGAAGTAATATGCATAATATCTTAAACCGGCGGTTATGTTAAGTCAACATTTTAGTTGATGCAAGGTGATTCCAATGTTCAAGGATGTTGTTATCGTTTTAATATATTTGCCTATGCGGTATTTTAGGAAAGGACGAATAGATTATCTTTTTCCTCTATCACCGAAGTCAGAAGATCACGAGGCCGTTCACCAACAAAATGGATCGACCTAGTGAAAGACTTGGTGACTTCCTACGTGGTGGTTCCTACGCCGTCATAAGAAACACGCTGGACAGAAAACGGTGAAATACAGACCACCCACTCCAGAAACAACCTTAATGCTGACAAGGACCCTCAGACATGATGGACCGACTCCAGAGAAAGGTCTTCTCTTCTATCACATCATAATAACATTCAACATTTTTAAAAATCATTGTCCGTCCGTGTATTTCTTTCCTTAATTTAATACTGATGAAGTATGTGTCTCCATGACTTTAATTAATGTAACTATACATGTACCTAATAATACCTTACAATGGACATTAAAATTCTTTCAACATGGAGAGCCATGGTAAAGTCATGCTTTGGCAAGCCAGGTGGGTTCGGTGTCAAGAAATCCTTTCGTTCCATTGCATGCAGTGAGGTTATCGGCGACTAAACCTCTCCTCATTCTGATTCTGGGGGAGGACTCATAAGCCAAAAACTTGTGACTCCTGAAGGGCAGGTGTCCATGGAGGTAGTCACTTATTTATTTTATTTATTTTTATAAATATTTGTCAGCATATAGTACTACGCTCCAAAACACAAATCGCAGATGTCACTCATAAAGCCGCAAGCACTCAAGTGGAATTGAGCCGGACACGTTTGCCGCATGCCGACGGATCTATGAGCAAAAATTTCCACATCTTGGGTCCCACAAGGCGCTTAACGACAACGTGGTAGGCCCAAGTGACGATGCGATCTCGATGGCTTCTGAAAAGACTGAGACAGAGAGATGGCCCACATACATGATAAAAATATGAAAATATAATATTTTACTTGGAAAACAAACAGGGTTCCAAGTAAAGTTTAAAATATATATGACAAGACATTTCGAGAACGGATTCATACCATTGGTCGGATAAAGTGCGAGATGGGTTTGAATTGAACAAATCTAAACTTCCAAGATTTCCAAGTTTTATAGAGTCAACTGCTCTCACAAAACCATCAGATAATCTTTGTAATCGGGACACCTGTCGATAAGAGACCACAAGCTATTTATAAAAAAGAAATTAAATTTCGTAGTAAATGGACGTATCTCTTCCATCTTATTAGCACCTTTCCCGTGTCCTTGATAATATCTTCTAGGCTCACTTCACATTTAAATAGTTAATATAGTTGATGTCTCTGGCCAAGAGGCCATCCGAGATCTATGGCATAACTAACACGTCCTCTCCGTTTTCTTATCTCTATTTACGTTCTTCTTTTATGGAATAGAGTGGTAAACGAGCAGACGTCTCTCCAGTAGTAAGTGCGAACCTCAGTCCCTGTACATCTGTAACTAAAGAAATACAAGTACGTGGTCAAAAACTGTGTGGACTAGATATGGAAATTATTACTACTTTAAATCATATCCATTTGATGATATTATGATTGTGATTTCGTCATAGACAAAGATAAATGAAATTAAAATCAATCAAAATTGTTTTTATCTAAGATTACCACCTTTTCTTTTAGATTAAGGCCTTTCGCTAGTCTTGCGCTAGCGTTATAATTATAATTAAGTAGCAGTGGTTTTGAAAACCAGTATCTGTGGTAATTATATGACTTTTCTCATGTGATTTGATTTTATATCATCGCCAATGTGAACCCCTCTCCAAGAATTATGGTCTCCGAAAATCCAGCGCACTTGATACAATTGTTTACCACCTATTTCCTGCAAGATCGCGGTATTAGTAGCTGACACTGTCCAATCTTACGGTACAGTAAAATCATCCCGTTGTCCCGAACATGAATACATTACTAACCCTGCACTAACGAAACCAGCTAACACCCTTTTGCAATGTGGCACATTGTGTTGACTCTAATATTTTTTTTTAATTAATTTTAAAGCGGCAGTGTATTATTGCTTCATTGTTAGTGACAGGTAGATCTACAGAAAAAGGAAATAATATTGTTCTATGGAGATCCTTAATAATTATTTTTTAACTTTTTAATGATCTGTTAGGTCGTAAAGCTTAACCGGTTCGCTTCTTAGCACCAATGTGTATTTATAGAATAAAACTTTGAGGTAACACGAATTTACATCGTTAGTAATGTTAACATATTTTTTCGCTCTTAAACAGAAAATGTTTTTAGAACATCTTTATTTACAAAATAACAATAATTTAAACACATATTTTAGAGTACGGATGTATTCTTGCGCGTACGCAAATGTTAAGAATTTAACGTACCAAAAAATCTAAGTTTTAAATTAGAAAAAATAGATTAAATATCATTAAATCTTAAAAAATGTATTAATTGTCGCTATCTTGCATTCACCCAACTGCCATATTTCACTTACGTAATGTAGCAAACTTTGTATAAATGACGGGATAATAATGATAATAATAAAAACATTCTTATCGATTAAACCGCATAAAACAAAGATTTATTAATCCGATAATTAGATTATCGCTTTTAATAGGTTCAATACTGATACAATGACAATACCACTGAATATTCAATTGCCAACCTAACGACAGCAATACACATGAACGATAAAGAAATTTAAGACATCTTGAATCCCATCGCATCATAGCTCTCAACAAAGAGTCTGGTCACAAGGTAAGGCGAGTTTCGATATTTTGCCGGTAGGTCTATATCTTGTCTGGTACATAATGCAACATTCACTACGATTCGGCAGAAAACTTTCAAATACATTGCTAAACTTTCTACGTTATATTGAACGAATTTTTTTATTTTCGTATTACAAGTCCATACGAAATTTCGAAGTCGAATGTCCCTTGTATGTATTGGGTCACACACAAGGGTGATGTTATGTAGCATGTTTTAGTTCAAAAATATATTTTTACCATTATTTTAACGTTGAGAAACAGAGTATACTAAAATTGCGATCATTTATGACCCTGAAATTAATTCTTTTTTTATCTACACTGTTATTACAAAACCGTAAAACTAATTAACATTTCGTTTCGGATTACACCATAATTGGACATTCATCTATCTTACAAAACCTTAACTAATAAAAAGTATTTTCTAACAGATGATCAGTGGTCGAAAAAACAACCATCTTGTGACTAAAAACACTTAATTTTGTTCTCCAAATTTTAACGATAGCGCAGTTTTAAGTAGAAAACATAATGAGTTCAGATGACAATATTATCAGGTAATAAACGAAGTTGATCTTTAACATCTATGAACTATCCTTTACTTAGTCTAGCCCCTAACTCCTATTTTTCCTTTCTGGAGCTCTAGCAGCGCTTTTATGAAAAAAAAAAACAGAACTGCGATAATGTTGTATGCATACATTACGTTTGTGATGGTTTAGAACAATAGACTCCACGTCATAACACCGTAAGTACTGGCATTCTCAGAACAAAGAACCTGGATGTCGTTTATATAGGCACCGGTACAATCGAGTTATAAACTATAAATGTTTTTGATTGAAAGTAAATTGCTTTTTTATAGATCTTTATGAAAAAATTGCGTTACTGAAATGTCTGTCTTTATTATGAAATAATAAAATGCAGTAAAGATAGTTCGCATAGTTGTAAGTCGGTTCACGGACAGTTGTTTTGACTCTGGTAATGAACAAACTTATAAAGTTGAGTTGCCTTTCTTACCGAGATAGACTTTATACAGGTCCCTCGTCCACGTATAGCCCACCAGTCGGCACTGCACTGCAGATACTTGGAACCACTGGAAAAAGTTTATGGGTCCGCAGCGAATTTAACATATCTCTGCCTCTCCCTATTAACCCACTACCAGTTATCGAAGGGATAACCGGTAGTGGTGTGGAGGGGTATACATCAATGCACCATCTGTGCAGCCTTTGATGTTACTGTGATTATAATCAACTATAATCGTATGCGTGGCGAAGTGTGTTATTGAACGAAAATATACTCTTGGCCTTGTAATTTTTACTATCCGCACACAGTGTTTTGCCCATAAATAAAAATACGTTTTCCTCTTTGTAATGTTTTACTTTTATTTATTATACCTTGAAAAATAGATATTTTTTTTAAATTACTTAATGAAAGCTTTTGTTCCAGAACAATGCCTGAAGTAGATGACTGTCAAGAACTCGCCACTATCAAAGATTGGCTTTACAAGCAGCCTCATTTGCCTCACGATGTCGGTAAGCATTCACTTTTTTAGTTGTTTGGTCCTGACGTCGTGAACAGTATCATAATTACAGAGTTCGTCGTAAATAAGATTTGGAAACCGGCAATAAACCATATGATATAATAATTGAATGAAATATATTGACACGTATGAGGATCAACTCCCCCTTTTTTTAACCACCGACGGAAAACGAGGGGTGTTATAAGTTTAACCTGTGTATCTGTTTATCGGTCTGTGGCATGATAGTTCCCAAACAGATGGACCAATTTCGATGCGGATTTCGCGATTCTAATAAATTTTGAAGATCATCAGCTCATTTCCTAGGTGATGCAGGGATCTCACTAAAATTAACAGGTCCGATTGATCTGAAATTTGGTATAGGTACTGTTACTTTGATGGTATTGGTAGTAACCAGCAACTTGCTGCTACATCAAGTAGTCTGTGGTAAATCCTCCGAAAATTACAGCATATTTACCGTGTTTGGGTTTATTAGAACAGTTTCATTGAGCAGTTGTTGTTTATTAAAGCTTTTTTTGTGATGGTTTTTTTTAATGATGCTTTGTGAGAAAATCCCCTCGGATAACACCCACTGGAGGAGTGATTATGACTCAAACCGATCACCAGTATCCAGTCCCAGTATCCGGGGAACCAGGGGTACATCAGGATAATCCCTAATATTAACTCTCTTTAAGTTGAATGTGGCCGATTGCTATCGAAAGGTGTGGTCACTATGGACAATGAGGTTCCATACTCGAATATATGTATATATATATTTAATCTGAATCTCGGAAACGACTAGAACGATTTTCATGAAATTTAGTATGCAGCTGGTTCCGGGGGCGATTAATCGATCTAGCTAGGTTTCATTTTAATAAAATTTACCTAAAAATATGTCTCAAACCACGATTTACACTGTTTAATATGTAGTAGTGTCTACTATCTAGTAGATCTCGCAGAGTTACCTCTAAATGATTTTATTCGATGATATCATCTCTCGGTTACGTCTTCAAATAATGAAATAATGATGACATAAAACAAAAGCGCTTTAAAGTTCATATAATAGCTTCATCACCAATGGCGAAGGTAGTAGTGAAACTCAAAATGACATACATTTTCATACACTATGCACTGTTAAGTAACTGTATTTGTAGCACTTGTAGTTATATAGTTGAAATAGCTTTTGCCTGCCACTATGCTCGGGTTTATGTCTTATTTATTATTATTTTTCCTTGGATGAAAACCATGTATGTAGTCCATATGATACTCCAGACTGTAAACTTCTTCTGTGCCAAATTTCATCCAGATTCAGTCAGCCATTGTGTCTCTATTTATAATAACTTGACACATCTGCCACACGGCCGTCTGATGCCAAACTAGGCAGAACCTGTACTTTTTTAATCAGACTTTAATCAGACAGACTGAAATATTTCTAAATACATGTTAAAGATAAATGACACACACAAACTAATGATCGTGTTCATCACAAAATTATTTGTCCTGGATGGGAATTGAATCCACGACCTCTGGCTAGCTGTCAATGGCACTATCTACTGGACCAACAGGTCAGCCATAATGAGTAATAAACATCCATGCAAACTTTCGCATTAATAATATTAGTACGATGGTAAGGACAAAAAATATTTACCAGCTTGTAGAATACGAACGTTGTTGTTAATGTCAAGGCAGTGTATTGCAACATTTTTAAAACCGTTTTGTAACTTTAACGATTTATTTCTTTCTAACAGACGTAAAGAAAAGAAGCAGGTTTTCAGTAACATTTTGTAGATATGTAAATTTCACAATTATTATTTAAATTTATTTTTGTTTGAAAGGGTATACTTTCAGATGGTCACATTGTCAGGTCATATAAGATTACCGCCTCCTGGTGACCCACTTGCTTCTTAACCCTTTATGCTAAATTGAATTTATTTTAATTCTTGGGAATTTGAATTAAACTAAAACTTTTCTGGCTAACCTTTCTTACAATTATATCATAATAGTTGCTAAATGAATAAACCTGGTGCGGTGCTGCGGTGGTGCAGTGGTAGCGTATGCGAATGCTGTGGTGAGGTCTCGGGTTCGATTCCCGAGTCCCAGGGACCAAATGTTTGTATGATCTCCAAATTATTTTTCGGAGTTTGGGTGTTTTCTATGTATAATATGTATTTACTTACGAAAAAAATAGTATTTAAGTATTTTATCAGTCAATCTAGCTTTCATAGTACAAGCAGAGCTAGATGAAGTTGTGTCAGATGTCCTAAAATATTATATTATACATCCATGCAAACTTTCTGATTAAAATAGTACAGGTTCTGCCTAGTTTGGCATCAGACGGCCGTGTGGCAGATGTGTCAAGTTATTATAAATAAAGACACAATGGCTGACTGAATCTAGGTGAAATTGGGCAATATATTGCTTAATTATTTGTATGCCCAAATGGCAGATCATGGAATGAAGATCATTAATAATTATGTAATGAACACCTGTATGTAACCCATGTATCACAAATAAACGATTTGATTTGTTTGATACATATTATCAAACCCGTATAGTACGAAGAAAGACGTTCGGTGGTTTTGTTTTAATTTTAGCAAAGTGCAAAGCAAGCTGGTTGGCAGCCTACTATACACGAGCATTTATTCAATAATCACAAAGTACAGTCGCAAATTCAAACAATTTTTTTTGGCACATTGCCGTTTTATTACAGATAAATCTTAATATATTAATTTGACAAATTACCGTAAATTTATGCAATGCGGTCAGTAAGCAATAATTGCATAGCAAAGTTCTAAAGGATATGCAAAATGTTGCAAAATTTATTCGAACTATTCCATTTATAGCGTTTCATAAATGTTGCGCCATAAATAGTGTTAAAGTACATAGATAGGTAGGTAGCTATATAGAAACTGGGCTATAGACATTTAATTGATCAACATTGAAAACTATAATTTTATGGTTATGTAAAGTTGAACTTTACGGCTTTAACTAAGTAACTTTTAAACTCAAGACCACACGAAGAATTCGGTAACGTAAGTAACAAAAAAAGGTGCAAAAGTCATCATCATCATGCATATATGATATTAAATAAATATTTAAAAATATATATCGATCAGTATTAATCGAGCCATATATCAATCTATGGAATCTATTTTTTTAAAAGGCAAAGTGAAGTTTAGCTTTCTAATAGAACTCTCGGGACGTGATGCAGATTTGCACTTGACGATGATGACAATACAAAATATCATTTATGAACTGCAGCTTAATGGGTCAAATACAGATATTTAGAGATAAACCTACACTGTCGACAGTTACATTTACTTTATGTTTAACTTAATTATTATATGGATAATACTTATTACCCAAATTGCTATACACACATTTTTATAGCAATTTTGGTCAGGTATTAAGACCAGATATCTAACTTTTTTTTGTTAGTGAAAGTCAGAAAAGACGTGATGATATTGTGTTATAATAGATATAAATTAGGTGATTTTCTTTGGAGCAAATTCAAAAAGTAATACTAGTTTAAGAAATGGAAACGACCTGTAACTGTGACAATGCTTTCTGCATTATCACAGTTACAGGTCGTTTCCATTTCCCTAGGTCATTTGTCCAGTGTGTATGCGATACACAGCTATAGCAGTAACGGGGAGTCACCCTATTAGCAGTGTTCGTTTTGGGTTCAAAGATAATCGAGAGAGTTAATTTTTTACCAATCTAAACTAATATTAAAAGGCTGAAGAGTTTGTTTGGAAGGTTGAGCCGCTAATCTCAGGAACTACTAGTTCGAATTGAAAAAATATTTTAGTGTTGGATATCCATTTATCGAGGCAGGCTTATAGGCTACATAACGTCACTCCACCACTCCATCAATGGTAAGTGTGACAAAAAGGGGAAAAATTCCCTTTTGAGATACATGATGAAGTAGCGCGGGTCAGCCCTTAATATAGTATCATCGGCCTAAACCGTGATACATTTGAATAGCCTTTTTTCTTCATCTCTCTTAAGTATTCAGTAAATTGTTTTCTTCAGGCGTGAGTATTCTTTATAATTATGTGAATGGCACGGCGGTTTAGCCGTTCACCTCCTTAACGGAGGCTGTGATTAGCGATGTTGAGATATCAATCTCGTTACAGTTGGACTGCACGGATGGCGAAGTGGTTTCAGCGGACGCCACGCCGCTATCTGCTATACTGAGTGTTGTGGGATCGATCCCCACACGGGACGACACTTTGCATGATTCACAAATTGTTGTTCTGAGTCTGGGTGTTCTTTGTATCCGTTTCATGTATGTTTGTAAAGTTCCCCGCAACACAGGATATAGATATTCCTCATGCGGGAGTTGTCTTTTTCGGTCTCGCTCCCATCCGCTCAGAGTGTGTTACGTGCGATATGGAACTTCGTTCCAATAATCTATATTGCTTCTTTGCATTTATTTTCTTTAACAGGGAGTTTCCTTTTAAGTATTGAATACTTTGTGACAGGGTACTCCATCTTTTACAATGACAAGAATACAAAAGTTAAAAAGAAAGATAATAAAAGATACATAAACTTATTACAATTACAACAACACCATTTAAACATCATCATAATCTGAGGCATTTTTGATTACTATCTATTTGGTCCACAATCAAAGAACTCAGAGCCAATACTGCATCTTCAGAAGATTTGTAGTGAGGGAGATAAAACGTATTTTTTTAAAGGTAATAGAAAAGCCTCTTATTTATAAGTCTTTCAATCATTTTTGAGATGTCTGGACGAACAGAAATTGGCCTATAGTTATTGACGTTGTCTCCGTTCCCACTCTTGTACACAGGTGTTATTAATGTTTGTTTTAAAAGCACAAGTTACCGGGATGACAACTTATTGGTAATAAAATGGTATGTGCATGTTTAACAGATTCTGTATTAATACTGTCAATCCGGCGCACTTCCAGACTTTAGATTCATAAAGACACCATACACTTCAACATGGTCCGTGTCCAGAAGAACAAATGAAGACAGTTGTGTGTTT